ATAGATAATAATACTCGTAGAATATATTTTAAAAGAATAATAAACGATTTATCGATCGAAATTCTCTCTATTACACAATATATATTTGGAATAACTTTTGTTTTTTTTTTTTTTTTTTTTAAATTAACGATCGAGAATATTTGCATCAATAATAATTTTGTGTAAAATAAAACAAGAAAAGGAAAGTTCTTCTTTTACTTGCGAATATATATTTAAATAAAAGAACAAATAAAAAAAACGAATAAGACATTGGAATATGAAAAGAAAAAGAAAAAAAAAAACGTTCATTTCAACTAACACAAAATTGGAATCACCGAAGCAAGTCAAATACGTTGTTACGAATGGTATCTAATTTAAAATACATTTACATATTATACTAGTAGATCCAATCCCGAAATGAAAATTTCTAATACCTGTATTCTCCATCCGTTAGTTTCTTTTTAGTTTGTCTTTCTTTTGCATCACACGTTGTTTACTTTTTCTCTCTCGTGAAAATCATTTGACTTTTTAAACAGCCACGAAAAAAAACATTTTCTCTTTCTCTCTCTTTTTATCTCTGTTTCTCTTTTTTCGATTATTTATTTCAACACCTATATTTATGTAGTACCATTAAACATAAACAAACACTCCTAACGCGTACAATCCTCAACTAAAAGAAATTTCAAATCGTAGTGTGTTAAACAAGGTCAATATATTTATTAACATCCGACGTTCAAACATGCGAACATTTTCACGCTTATACACGGGAAGGATTTAATCCAGGATCAACGCATATGTTTGTTTAAAAGATAGTGAGAGAACGTAAAAATAAATGTAAAGAAACGAGCTTTAACCATTTGAACTTTTCAACATTTGTCAGTTAGAATATTACAAAGATTTTATCGCACAGATCGTTGTTCGCATAAAGAAAATTAGATAATAATAAATGTGTATTCGGTAAATCTATAAATTGTTATCTATTTTTACGAATATATATACACACATATAATACAGGAAGAACACGCGTGATGAATAAATTTCTTTTGATTTTGATTTTTAACGTGTATCTCGTAATTGCAAACTTTTTTTTCTTTTTTATATAAAATTATGAATTTAATAGTAATAGTAGTGGAATCAAACACGTACTAGACACTCTAGTACGAAGTTGATAGATAGGAAACATATCTATGATTCTAACCATATAACGAATTGAAAAGGTAAAACGAGGACTCGTTTGTTCATCAACGAATCAAAACCGTCTGATTTTTGCCATTGTGTTCTCTTGTTATAGGTCACCTACCTTTTTTTTTTTTCTTTTTTTTTTCTCGTCCCAGGTAGTACTATATTTTTTTTTCCCTGTTCCTGATAAATCCAGTATCAAATTCCATCCCACCCTTTTACACTTCTCTCACTCACTTATTTTATCGGATTGATCGTACAGTTAGTTTCACAATAGCGTGACGCTCGTTTCTGCAATTTAGTTGGGTTGAAATCGTTACGAAAATAACTTTTTTCAAACTGGTTGCATTTAAGGTATTGTGTTTTATATAACAGATATATAGTTATGAGAATTGAGAAATAGTTTTTAACTGTATTCGATATATAACGTTTCTCACATGCTTATCCTCCCAGTATCGATGTTTGTAACAATTAAAGTACCTGTATTTTAGTTCACGTTATTACTGTTTCAAGAACTTTTAATCGTTATCAAAAACTTTTATCAACTTTGACAATGAACGAACGGACGAACTAACGAATGAGTTTAACTGCAAAATATATATCTGCATGAGCATGTGTCTGTGTGTGTGTGTTAATCGTTCAGTCAACTTTTAGTCACTCGCAAGATTCTATTAATTGAACTACAATTATAAATAATATAAATATAATACATAATAATGTGTGCGAACAATATATATTATATATCTCTAGGTAAATCCATGATTATCCAATTTTTGTCATTATTCTCTATTGGATTATCGAATAAATATATCTTAACGTGTATATATATAAATGAATTAGAATAATTATCGTCAAATATATTTCTCGTATAATTTCTAACTAAATTGTTACTACGACACACAAATCTTTTTACAAATATTAATTTCTTTTTTTAAATTGAAACAGGTAAAATGAAGAATGAGAAAAAGATGAAAGACAAAAAACAAAAAAAGATGAGAAAACCTTTCACTTTAGAGATAGAACTATGATTGTGTGTAATAATACGTACTTTACCTGGATATCCTTATAAAAGTGGGATATGCAAGTATTAGTGTACAAAAAATAATTGAATTTACTTACTAAAACGAGTAAAGAGAGAAAGAGAGAGAGAGAGTAGAAAAGAATCGGATTGGTATCACCGCAAATTACTTTGGTGTCTACCCTTCATTCGACCTTCTCATCATCCCTTTCCCTTTCCTACTTTCTTTTTATTTTTTTTCTTTCTACCTACCTACCCCCTTATATTCCTTTGATAGGAGTAATAACCTGGGAAAAAAAAACGTGTCGATGAGAGAATCGTTTGAACGAATAGATAAAGATAAAAAAAAAAAGAAAAAATATAGAAAAAGAGAAAGACAGACAGACAGACAGACAGATAGACAGACGAACGCTTGGGTGGTCATAATAATGGCTGCTGCCGGTTATTCTTCGTGAAATGATTTAAGGGTTGAAAAGGTGGATGGGTGATGAAAACGATTGGCTAAGTCCGGTCACGTATTTAATACTCCGTTCTCTACGTTATCTACGATCTTTCGTGTACTCGATTTCATCCTGTTATCCGACATTCATCGAACTCACCCCCATAACCCCCTCCTCCTCATTTCTGCCCCATGACGCCTACTATTATCCCCCGTGTCTGCCTCCCACCCACCTCCGTCGTCAATCTTTCTTTTTCTTCTTCCTTTTCTTTTTTTTTTTATTATACCTTTTCTCATTATCTTTTCCCTTGGTTGCCTGTCTTACCTAATGCGATGCTGTTAGTAAAAGAAGTGCATAATGCATCGGTGATTAGGATTTCATGGAGATCACGATCGATTCCTTACGGAGTTTTAACGTCTAGGTAAACGACATTAAACTCGATAGGATGGATGGATGGATGGACGGATGGATGGATTGATGGTTGGATGGAGGAACGGATGGGTAGATGGATAGATGGATGGATGGATGGATGGATGGATGGTGCTGCGTTTTTCAATGCAAATCGATCGTCTTGAGAGAAAGGAAAATATTCAACTTGATCGGTGGCCTGATTTTATAAATGGATAAGCAATTGTACATCGGTGTGTGTGATCTTTGAATTTTGGTTAATGCAATATATTTTTATCTCTAACAAATGTTTCATGACCGTTTTTTTCGTTCGAACGAAACGCTTCGTCAAAATAGAATTATTTCATTTCGATCGTTGCGAATTTAGGAATTTCTTTTTTTTTTATTTTCACTCGAATTTTTGTGACCATTTCCTCCTCCTCCTCCTCCTCTCCCTTTAAATTTAATTTCTCGCTAGATTTCATATAAAATTCGCGCATCCCCCTATTACGTTTTGCTGGAGTCTCTCGTATATTATACGACTCTATAAAATTTTATAATGCAAATAAACCATTATTCCGAACTTACAACGGGGGGGGGGGTAACAGCAACCTTCTAAATTATTCATTCACGTGTTACGTACTACACCCTTATTCGTATTTAATATACCCACTAATATTTTCAATTTATTTTGCTAAATTATTTTAATTATGTATTATTTGAAAAAAAAAAGAAAAGAAAATAAACAATTTTGGAAAATTCGATTATATACGAAAAATATTTTTAAACTTCGTTCGATATATTACACGCTTCTATTATGATTTAATAATGATGACAGTATAATTACTTTCGACAAGAATAGTCTCGCGTTAATGTTGTTTTACTTTTACATATATACACACACACACACACATGTATATATCTTCTCTCCCACGCATAAAAATATCATACATAAACGTATATAGAAATTTACGTAGGAGTAATGTAA